GGGCAACTTGGCGAGACCTCATCTCTACAATAAATCAAAAATTAGCTGGGCACGGTAGCATGCGCCTGTAGTTCCAGCTGTTGGAAGGCTAAGGCGGAAGGATCGCCGGAGCCCAGCGGGTCGAGGCAGCGGTGGCCAGGAGTGGCCACTGCACTCTAGTCTGGGTGACAGAGTGAAACTCCAACTCAAAACAACAACAACAACAACAAAAAAAAAAAGGTAAGTTACTAAGTAGAAAAATATCTGCAACACAGTCAGCCAGCAAGAGATTCATATCCAAAATACATAAAGAAACCCCCAAATCAGTAAAAGGCAAATAATGCTATGAAAAAGTGGGCAAGAGATGAACAAGCAATTCAGCAAACAGGAAACATTAAAGTTTAATGAATAAAAGAGTAGTCAAGGAAATGCAAAATAAATGGATGATGAGATATTACTGCAGGACCAGCAGATTGGCAAAAAGCTAAAAGTCAGGAATACCAAGTGTTGGTGAGGACTTGGAGATACAGAGAACTTATAAGCCCTACTGGCAGTAAACTGTTACTACAACTTTGGAGGAATATGGCAACTAAAGACATACATACTCTACAAATCAGCAACTCCTTTTTCAGTCATATAATAGAAAAACTCACTCATATGCCCAAAAATGTCTGATGAAGCACTATTTAAAATGAGGAATAATCAGAAAAACTCAATGTTAACTAGTGAGTAAGTGAGTTTAAAAATTGTGGCCTATTCTTAACAACAATACTATATATTGCAATTTAAATGAGTGAAATTACCTCAAAAAGCTGTAAAGGTACAGATAGCATCTATATAAGTAAGATAAATAATACTATATGGAGTGATTCAAAAATAATTGAATGGAATACAAATAAATTAACTACTGACACACGTCACAACATGGATGAATCTAAAAGACATGAGTGAAAGAAGCCACACATGAGCATATATGTCAAATGATTCCATTTACATGAAGTTCTAAAATAGGCAAATAATTATGATCAACAGTGATAGAAAACAGATTTATGGGTACTGGGGGAAGAAGTGTGGATTGGAAAACAGAATGAGGAAACCTTTTTGGGGTAATCAAAAGTATTTCATATCTTTACTGAAGTGGTGGCTTCATTTGTCATCAAACTTAAAATCTGAACACTTATTGTACATAACATAGATTATCCTCAATAAACTTTATTTCAAACAAATAGAACTGAATGCTTTCAAAAATACATTAGTTAGCAATTAGGTTGCAGCCCAAAAGAATTTGCCAAAAAACCATCACAGATAATTCCATAATCTTATAAATGCTTAACTCACAGCTTTGCTGCCACAAAGCACACATCGATACTGTAGCCCACTCAGTAATGTATAACCACTGTCCATTGTTGAAATGACATTCCTGCACAGGTGCAAGGAAGAAGTGGGACAAACAAGGAGATCCTTGACATATCTCACAAAAAGTCACATGCCAGCATATCTGGGAGATCTGGGGGCCACTATTCCAGAGGCAGGTCAATCTTTTCTTTTGAAGAGTACAGTCCCTACCAGAAAATGTGTTCATTAGGAACCTCTGACCTCTGAACTGCACAATGGAAGTGAGGCATAGCCTCATTCTGACGGAAAACAGAGCTGCTGCAGATTCTCTGTAGCTGTTGTAAGAACCACTCCATAAGCGTATCCAAAAAAAGCTATCTTTGATAGTATCTTTTATAATAAGGAACTGATGACCTGTGTGCTTCATATGGCACACAAAAAAATTACTTTTAGTTAATCCCTTACAAATTTAATTGTAAAATGTT